ATTTCCTTCTGCGTTTAAAAAGCAACATTACATTCTGCTTGAAGGAGAAAAACAAGAAATCAAACTTCAAGCATTTTCGACTTTCCATTTATAGAAGTACAATTAGTTCTTAGCTTTATGGTAGATCCCAACTAACTAGAACAGTTAATTTAATAACTGACTTAGCCTTAGCAGTTAACTAACATTAAATTTGGTAATGTGTAAAACAACTAACACACAAATCAAAAATACACAAACAACAACAACAAAGTTCCTTTCTAAAATGTAGGCTCTTGAGTCTAATTGAATCTACCAATTGAACTGAGACACATACAGAGTATTAAAATGCTTTTTTATATTAAAAAAGGATTTTTTAGGCAAAATATGCTAAAATTAAAGTATAAACTGAATGTTTTCTAAAACAAATACCTGATAAAAGGTTTTGTGTTGGACTTTTTAAAAATTAACTTTTTTTTTTTTTTTGAGACTGACTCTTGCTCTGTCACCCAGGCTGGAGTGCAGTGGCATCATCTCGGCTCACTGCAACCTCGGCCTCCCACGTTCACCCAGTTCTCCTGCCTCAGCCTCCCGACTGGCTGAGACTACAGCATGTACCACCATGCCCAGCTCTAAATTTACCTCTTTCTAATGAAAATAAAATAGTAGTCATTCTGTCAAAGCCAAATTGCGTATATTGTACCTGCAGTTGTTGTTATAATATTTCAACAACAGCACAAGAGCTACTATTGAAAGCAAGATGTCAAGTGTTCTAAGGTCCTCAGTGAAGGTCCTCACTGGTGTCACTCCTGACACCAGGCTGTCTTCACTATAGAGATTTTAGAGGAGCCATTCTTCAATTATGTTAACACAGAATCTGCCTACGTTAGCTGACAATCTAAAGGACTAGCACAAAATCACCACTCCCTTCCCTCATGTGACAAATGCCTTTGGACTTAATTTGCCGAGCTCTATTCTCTTTTCCTTCAGGATGAATTTGTCTGGAGTTTTCTTTCCTGAACAAAAATAATATCCTAGGAAGACAAGTACTGCTGGATCTTTAAAGATGCCCAGATTCTAGAGTTAATGTGGCTGAAATTTAAACTAGAATGCTTGCTGCATTAACCTATCTACATCTTTTAATATAAATACCTATTCAGGTAGTTATAAAATGTCGATTTTAATGCATGGACATTAATGGACTATGCCTAACTAAGCTAAGGAAATGACTGGATTCACACATCTAGTATTTTTATCAGGTGGTTTTTTATGTATACCCTTTTTTCTGGCACTAACTTGTTACATCAAGTAACAAGTTAGACAAATGGCCCTCAAGTAACTTAGACTTTTGCTTTAAGTTTGGGGTATTCTTAAAATACGTATGAAAACTTGCTGGCAGCCTCTGATTATCCATACAACCTCCTTTTTTTTTTTTTTTTTTTTTTTTGCAAATTTTTATTCTTTCCATCAAAAGCCTACTATAACTTACATACTTGGAACAAAGTAAAGTAGATACCCAGTATGAGTATCAAATAAATGAACCAGATTGTTGAAACATTAATTTTACAGGAGAAATGTCCAAACTTAGCATACTACCCCTTTGTTAACTCAAAAATATTCTTCTATATATCTCTTGCTTCTGTTTCTCACTGCTTGAAGCTCAGGCAATTCCCTTTATGTGAAGTATTTCACCGGATGGGATACACACATATCCCTTTCAATGCCCTTCCATCTTGCCCAGGTCCAATGACTCAAGATGGTCTTTGACGCCTTAAATTAACTGAACCTATTTGTAACTTCAGATGGCCACCAAAGTGAAGTCTTATCCATTTCCCTTCACCATTCTAACTGAACTAGGTTTTTTTAAACACTGGCATTTATGATTAATTTGTATCTTTTTTGTTGTAAATATTCTAGAACCAGAATCTACCATTCATTAACTAGTTAAAAAGCATATTTGCCTTTAAAAGGATACAACTTTTAATTTGCAATACACATTATTTCAACTACATCATAGTCTGTGATTAAAAGATTTTTTTTTTTTTTTTTTTTTTTTTTTGAGATTCTCTGTCTTTTAAAGTAAAAATTAGGCCAGCAGCAGTGGCTCATGTCTGTAATGCCACCACTTTGGGATTCCAAGTGGGGGCGGATTACTTGAGGTCAGAAGGTCGAGACCAGCCTGGTAACATGGTGAAACCTAATCTCTACTAAAAATACAAAAATCAGTTGGGTGTGGTGGCAGATGCGTGTAAGTCCAGCTACTCAGGAGACTGAGGCAGGAGAATCACTTGAACCTAGGAGGCGGAGGTTGCAGTGAGGCAAGATCACGTCACTACACTCTAGCTTAGTGACAGGGTGAGACTTCGTCTCAAAAAGAAAAAAAAAAAAAGTAAAAATTATTTAATGTAACCACTGTTGTAGTAATAATAAAGAGAATGTGTGTATGTATTTTGCTTAAGGGAAGAGAATTGGAATAAATTCATATATAAAATTGCTAATCAAAACAATGTTTTACAGATGATTTCAAAGTTCATGGAGAAACATTTAAAAATATGTACACATCTAAATTCCTGATTAGAAAAACTAAGTGAAAGACTGAGGTTGAATGAAGAAATGTAAAGTATAATGATTGAGAACACATGGACGCAGGGAGGCGAGCACTACACACTGGGGTCAGTTGGGGGTAAATAGGTGAGGGACAGCAGGGGGCGGGGAATTGGGGAGAGATAGCATGGGGAGAAATGCCAGATATAGGTGAAGGGGAGGAAGGCAGCAAATCACACTGCCATGTGTGTACCTATGCAACAATCTTGCATGTTCTTCACATGTACCCCAAAACCTAAAATACAATAAAAAAGATTTAAAAAAACAACAGCTTACAATATATTGATGTTTATACAAAATTATTTATTGATCTAAAAACAAAAGTTCATTTGGAAGAATATTTCTGTATAATATTGTTTATATATAAAACTTCGAGCTACTCAGGAAGCTTGAGCCCAGGAGTTGGAGTACAGAGTGGGCATACCAGTGAGAACCCATCTCTTAAAAAAGAAAAGTTAACAAGTTGACTTTTTAGTTTATCATTTTATCCTTTTTGTTTTAAATATTCTAGAATCCAGAATCTACCTGAATATCATGATAAAGTTATTAAAAATAAAAACAGCATTGTACATGTCACACCTATAGTCAATGTAAAACAACTATTCTGCTTTGCATCCCTTAGCCACAGGCACATTAAGAAATCAACAGATATTCACAGAACACAGAACTATTTGTGGAATGACAGTTGAACAGGTGGACCTTGAGTAAAGCTGAATTCTGCCAGAATTAAACTTTTTGCATTATTTATCTAGATGACACCAGACATCTTCTTGAGTAGACAAGGTATTTGCTTCCACAAGTGTAGACTGACAACATATACCCATACCTCAACACCATGTCAGAATTATGGTTAATCCCAAACTTGTAACAGAGGGATAGCTGCGTATTCGGGATACAGGGTCACTTACACTACTCTCTAGCTGTCTGCCAAGAACTACTTAGAAATTTTACCCACTTGTCTTGTGTTTCTGCTTACAAACTAATGTACAGTACTATGTAGAGAGTGAAAACTACCAAACTTTAATGTCGAAGTATATCAAAGTGACATTGTCGGTCCCCCAATGTTAATATGGGGAGAAAGTTTGTGGCTTAAGACAGAAAGTATATGGCTTAAAACTATTTCATCCACAAACTGTGATGGTGTCTGTTTAAAACTTAAACAGTAGCTGTAAATTTTTTGAAGTATTATATTTTTGCTCAGTCTTATCCCTGGAAAGTTTCTTGGCCACAGAGCCTTTGGTAAGTTACGTACATATTCTGAAATACAGGTATTCTTGAAGAAAAAAGAAACAAGAAAAACAATTTTTTTAAAAAAGGCAGAGAAAAATAAATCTGCTGTGCAAAAGCCTAAGTTACCTGTCATGGGTTGATGAAATAAAGCATTCTGTACTCCTCAATTCCACTTACGAGGAAGAGCTCAGGAACTATTTAAAAGGATGTTTCCATAAGCTATCTGTATTTCCTGAAATTAAGGAAATTTCTGTACAAAAAGGCAACAGGTTTTTGGTTGTAATGAAACATGATTAAACTTCTAGTCTTCATATAATTTCAGTTTTAAAGTTACATTGCACTAAATTTCAGAGCCTTCCATTTCAGAACTGCCTAGTGGCTCATTATCCTAAATCCCCATCCAATATTAATGAAGAATAGGTAAAAACAAAGTCAGTCTAGTTTGGTTAACTGTGGGTTCTGGGCTTTGTTAGGCTTTCTTTTCCTGTCATATTTTCTTCTTCTTTTTTTTTTTTTCTAAACACTATGAAAAATTACTTAAATGACATAGATATTTGAATGCCATTATTTTAATTATTTTAATGAGACATATTAAAATTTGTCTCCATCTTGCATTTTTAAAACAACAGTATACTGCTCCACACAGCAACTTAGAATATATTAAGTAATATATTTAAAGTGACGTAAAAACACTTCACACTTCTCACAGGATATATTGCTTCTTGAATTCTGTTCTTTGTGAATGAAGCAAAGTCAAGTTAAAGTCTCTGGAACAGATATGGAGCTTATACTTCGTTATTGTAAGAAAAAGGGTATCTTATAATCTGAATATCATCCTTAGATTGTGGCAGAACTAGGCTAGTACAACTTCTCATTTTCCCAACTATATTCTTATGAAAACACTATGCAGTCATATTGTATGTGGCACAACTTAAAGAAGAGCAAGTCATGCAATCCCAGCACTTTGAGGGGCTGAGGCAGGCGGATCACGAAGTCAAGAGTTTGAGACCATCTGACCAACATGGTGAAACCCCAACTCTACTAAAAATACAAAATTAGCTGCGTGTGGTAATGCCACGCCTGCCTGTAGTGCCAGCTACTCAGAGGGCTGAGGCAGGAGAATTGCTTGAACCCAAGAGGCAGAGGTTGCAGTGAGCTGATATCAAGCCAGTGCACTCCAGCCTGGGCAATACAGTGAGATTCCATTAAAAAAAAAAAAAATCAAGAATTTTCAAAAGCAAGAACTCTTAGCATTATCACGGCAATCTAACAAAAATTAAGGCAGAATTTTACGTTTCTAAAAGCTTTTATACAATAGATAAAGGAGGGGTAATCATTCAGATTTTCTAAATTCCTACTGGTTTGTTATAAATGTGAATTAAGGAATGACTATAAAAAAATCAGCAGCCTAAGGATGAGAGGAGTGTAGCTCCCTGGGTCCAGAGTAGAGAAAGCACATCCCAGACAGTTTTCAAAGGCTTAGGAAAATAAATTTCTATGAATGTCATTATACTACATGAGGACGATACTTTGCAAACACTTCAGGAAAAATTAAAAAAAAAAAAAATAGTTTAAATGGTACTGCTGTTGCCCAAATAGCTGTACAATGCCCCACAGAAAAATTAATACTAACAAAATATAACAAGTTATCCTATAGAATTTAAAGTTAATTTTAAAAAGGCTTTGTCTCATTTGTTTATATTTTTGAAGATATGAAAACACTATAAAGACATATTATAAAGGATTACCGAGGGTAGTATGACCTTTTTAAAAGGAAATGGTTAAAATCCATACACCAAACATAATCCACAAAAGTCTCTAAGTGAGACTTAAGATCTTCAGTCTAAAGAAAATGATTTAAATATATCTGATATTTTTACCATTACCACTTACAAATTATGTGTTTACAGAGAAATTCTATCTACAGCAGACCCTAACTTTACCACACAGAAAAATAACTTTATATAGTACACTGGTGAACATATACTTCATACCGTACATCATTCTGTTCTTAGGGAAATCTATTGGCATGTTACAAAGACTGTTCACAATTTTCTTTGGACAAATACTTATAGCCTCATTCACTTTGCATTTTAATAGCTATTTATTTTTGTGTATAAAGTTTCCAAACTTTTGCATAAATCCGCGAAATTTGTTCTCATTCGGTTGATATGAGTGATAAACGCCAGTGTTGTAATTAAGCATTGGACTAGACCTGCCATAACTGTTGCCCATAGTCGCAGATTTTATTTCTGAGCGATTTATACTTGTATTTGGCATGTTGCTTGCTGGTTGAATAGAGCTCTCAATCTTACAAAATGGCTCAAAGCGACTGTAAACACGTCGGTCAGTTGAATGAGTTCGTAGAAGCTCACTGGGTGTTGGCCTTGGAGAAGAAGTTGGTCTTCTCTCATGAGTAACAACTGCATTAATCTCCCTTGAATCTCGGTATTGGATCTGTTCAGTGTTAAATCTTGGGGCAGAGGCATCTCCTGCCCTTTCCAAGAACTTGCTTTCAACTGGGCCTGGAGAAGGTGTTCTTTTATTTTCATCTGATGGAGCATTTATCCCTTGAGATGGGCTACCTGTGACATCTTCCTTACTTTTGTGGATGCTGCCTTGAGAGTTGGATGAGGAAGAATGCTTTCTTCTAGGAGATGAATCAACTTTTGTATCTGATTTCTTTGGTTTTTGATTTTCTTCACCCTCAGAAACTAAAGTGTCAGAGCTACTACACAATCTATAAAAGGCAGGTGCTTTATTTTTGGATAGATTTTCTTTCTTATCTGGGGTAAGGCTAAGTAATGACCTTAACTTCTGAGACCCCTTTTTCAAAAAACTTGGGGAACCCTTAACTTCCTTCTTTGAAGCGAGTTCTTTGTTGGATTCCTCTTTATTCATATCAAGTAAAGCAGCAATGGAAATTGATTTGGTAGTAGTGCTGCTTGGAGGGTTTCTCTTGGTAACTTCCTCCTCATCCTCCTCCATATTATGAGTTACATTGTGCATACTTTTAGAACTTTTCAGTAAATCTTCTTTGGGCTTTTCTGGTTGTCTAACTCGATTCCTGGTAAGTGTACTATATACACAATACTTACTATTTCCAGGATCTAAGTTGGCTTTTGAGTTGTCAAATAATGGGAAACTTCGTCTTTTAAGCAGATTCTCATTCTGTTGATTCTTTAGATTTTCTGTCTGCTTATTTACACACAAGTTTGTATATATATAGTTATTTGATTCTGTATGGCCGTTTGTCGTTTCATTTAAGGCTATTGAGTGGTTTTCAGGAACCTGCAAGGTGTGCATTTTTGGTGCCTCTGACTGTGAAGGGAGCTTTGGAGTTGATTCTGGCAAGGGTTTGTCTGTCAAGTGCTGTACATGCGTAGGAGTGTCTGGGACCTCTTTAGGTGTCTCACTTCCCTGAGAACCAATGATAGTTGAATTTGAGGAGCCAGTTGTACAACTATTGACTTCCTTTTGCTCAGGTAAAGTGGGTTTAAATACTAAAGAGGTACGAAGCCGAGAATGAGTATAAAGGGCATTGGCCTTCAAATTCTCAGGACTATCATAGCCCTCAAATTGGTCACCTAAAGCTGATCCATTTGAGTCCGGTGTAGCTTCTGAATGATCATTTAAGTAGGATTCAATTCTCCGGTGACGCAGAAATGACTTTGTGGTATGTTCAAGGGTTGGCATTCGTTGTTGCAAAAAGCGAGTATAATTATCTGTCCCATTAAAAGACCTCCGAACATTTGAATTTCTGTCTGCAAGAGTAGTTGTTTTTCTCTGTGCAAGCCGATTGGCAAAACTCTGGGCAGGTGTGTTGCGGTGGTGTGCATAGCTTTCCCGTGATGAGGATGCCACACTGAGACTATCAGAAGGTCTTTTCCAATTACCAGGTGGATTATTGGATCTATTCAGAGCCCTATTAAGTAGGAGGTATGGCACTGTTTCTGGCTGTTCCCCAGCATAACTATGTCTTTTCCAGTTTTCATTGATCTGACTGGGTTGAAATTGACGTATTGCATTTGGACCATTAAAGTTTGGAACAAAATGAGGTTTGTATCCGTGATTTCTTATGTTATATTTGTCATGCTCATTTAAAGTGTATATTCCTCTGTTTTTGAAGTAACTAGAATCTAGTTTATGAATCTGGTCTTGTCTACCAAAAAGGTTTCTTTGGCTGGAAACAGATGCTAATGAAGAAATTGAATGCTGGTAAGTGCCATTTTCCCAGAGGGTTTTGCCATGCTTCACCCTTGCTGATTCTTCCTGAGCAAATGAACTGGGGACAGAGGATCTGGCATAGAGAGTTCTAAATTCTTCATCAAAAGACTCAACAAGTTGTCCTGTGATTATCTGAACCATGCTGAGGTGAGCTTTCTCAAATAACCACATATAGCTGGGGGTTTAAAAAAAAAAGGAAAAATTTTAATCACTTAAGTTAAAAGATTTATAAAAACATACAGTTCTACTAAAAAGTATCACTTAATGATCACAAAATATGCTTTTGTATGGTTTTTTGGCTACCATTATTTAGAATATTTTCCATCATTCCATGCTTATAATACATGTCTTCTCATCCTCATATTCATATTTTAAATAACAATGCAACTCAGATTATAGCTTTGAATCCACCACTTTTCAGAAGTCCAAAGAAAAACTTGCTGTGCATTTTCAAAAGCAATCTGCAGATTTAATGCAATTCCTGTCAAAATACCATCATCATTTTAACAGAACAAGAAGAAACAATCCTAAAATTCATATGGAATCAAAAAAGAACCCACATAGCCAAAGCAAAGCCAAGCAAAAAGAATAAATCTACAGGCATTACTTACCTGACTTCAAATTATACTACAAGGCTATGGCTACCAAAAGAGCATGGTACTGGTGTAATAATAAACACATACACCAATGGGACAAAATAGAGAAACCAGAAATAAAGCCATATACCTACAGCCAACTGATCTTCAGCAAAGCAAACAAAAACAAAAAGTGGGGAAGGAACACCCTATTCAACAAATGGAACTGGAATAATTGGTAAGCTACATGTAAAAGAATGAAACTGGATCCTCATTTCTTACCTTACGCAAAAATCAACGCAAGGTGGGTCAAAAACTTAAATCTAAGACATGAAATCATAACAATTCTAAAAGATAACATCGTAAAAACTCTTCTAGACATTGGCTTATGCAGAGTTCATGACCAAGAACCCCAAAGCCAATGCAACAAAAGCAAACAAACAAAAAGAGATAGAACAAAAAAGCTTCTACACAGCAAAAGTAATAATCAGCAGAGTAAACTGAGTGGGAGAACATATTCACCAACTCTGCATTCAAAAAAGGATTAATATCCAGAATCCACAAGGTACTCAAATCAGCAAGAAAAAAATAAATAATCACATCAAAAGTGGGCAAAAGATAAGAACAGACAATTCTAAAAAGAAAATATACAAATGCCGAATAAAAATACAAAACAAAATGCTAAACATCACTAATTATCTGGGAAATGCAAATTAAAAATGAGGTACCACCTTACTCCTGCAAGAATGGCCATAATTAAAACATCAAAAACTAGTAGACATTGGCATGCATGTGGTGAAAAGTAAACATTTTTACACTCCTGGTAGGAATGTAAACTAGTACAACCACTATGGAAAACAGGGTGAAGATTTCTTGAAGAACTAAACGTAGAACTACCATTCAATCTGGCAGTCCCACTATTGGGTATCCACCCAGAGGAAACTAAGTCATTTTATGAAAAACACTTGCACATGCATGTTTATAGCAGCACAATTTGAAATAGCAAAAATATGGAACCAGCATTAATGCTCATCAACCAACAAGTGGATAAAGAAAATGTGGTATGTATATACCATAAAAAAGAACAAAATAATGGCATTTGCAGTAATCTGAATGGAATTGGAGACCATTATTCTAAGTGAAGTAACTCAGGAATGGAAAACTAAATATTTTATGTTCTCACTTAGACGAGTGAGAGTTAAGATATGAAGATGCAAAGGCATCAGAATGACGTAATGACCTTCAGGGACTAGAGGGAGAGAGGGGTGAGGGATAAAAGACTACACATTGTGTAGAGTGAGCTTGGGTAATGGGGGCACCAAAATCTCAGAAAACACCACTAAAGAACTTATCCATGCAACCAAAAACCAACTGTTCCCAAAACACTAATGAAATAAATAAATAGAACCTTAAAAGAAAGATAGATAGGAAACTTGCTGTGCATTTTGCATCTGTGTTGAAACTTTATGACATAAAAATTGATATTATATTTCATATATACCATGGTGGCAGAATGCAGTAAAGCTAGTATTAGAGAAAAAGTCGAGAGACCTGGCTTCTGCTGAGTTGTAGCCACACAAGCTTGGGCTTCACTTTCCTCATGTCGAATGCAAGGATATGGACAGCGTAATAGCTGCAATGCTTTATAGCTCTAACATGATATAATGTAAGATACAGCTATGCTAATGCATATAATTTAAGAGTCTGTAGGTTTTCAGACTGTTATCTCTGTGGCTTACTGAATAAGTGTAATTTAGGATGCCAAGAGCTGTAAACAGGATTTGTGGCCAGCTGCCTCAATCACTAAAGGACAGACTTCACTGTACTCACTTTATACAGCATTAGTAAATGTAGGCCTCAGAAGCCATGCCAGTCAAAATGCCAGTCAGGATCTTTTAATATACAAATCTGTGACTGAGCTCAATGGTAAAGGTCTTCCCCCGAACAAACACAGTATACAAAGACTGGGGGAGGTGACTGCTTAGTTTTGAAATGTCTGAATACTGCCAAAAAATTACAAGGTATATGAAGAAGCAGGGGAACTTAGCCCAATCATAAGAAGTAAAATAAAACTCCAGAAACTGACCCTAAAGAATCACAGATCTATGAGCTGCCTGATAAAATATTTAGAATAACTGATATAAAAATGCCCGGTGAACTAAAAACAAACAAAAACAACAACACACACACACATACAAGTAAACAAAGTCAGGAAAATGATATATCAATGGAATGAAAACATCAACAAAAATAAACTATAAAATAGAACTAAAAGGAAGTTCTAGAACTGAAAAATAAAATAACTGAGTAATTCATTAGAAGGGTTCAATAGCAGACTTGATTAGGCAGAAGAAATAATGAATAAACCTGAAGACAGGTCACTGAAATCACTGTCAGTGGAGCAAAACAGAGAAAAAAAAAAAAAAAGGAATGAAGAAGAGCAGAGATATACTAAATAATTTATGGGACTACCAAGCAGATCGATATATGCATTATGAGAAGCTGAGAAAGAGGAGAGACAAAGAATCAGATAACTCATTTGTAGAAATAGTGGACAAAAACTTTCTGAGTCTGAGAAAAAAAATTGATGTTTGAATTTTAAAAAAGTCAAACTGGGATAAATCCAAAAGGAATTATACCAAGACACATTATAATCAGACCTGTTTAAAGCCAAAGACAGAGAGAAAATCTTAAAAGCATCAAAAGAAAGGTGATTTGTCACATACAAGGGAGCTTCCATTAGATTATCAGTGACTTTCTTAGCAGAAACTTTGCAGGCTATAAAGGAGTAGGAAAATATAATCAAAGAGCTATAAGAAAAACACTAATAACACCAAGAATTCAGCAAAACTGTCCTTCAAAAAGAAGGAGAAATTAAGACTGTCCCAGATAACTGACATCTGAGGAAGTTTATTACTAGTAGCTCTACTCTACATGAAATGCTAAAGTGGATCTTTTAAGTTCAAATAAAAGGATGGCAGAGAGCAACACAAAGCCTTATGAAAATGGTTCTCCAATAAAAGTAAATATGTAGGCAAATGAAGTGACATGCACTGTTGCAGGTACAGGTTCACAGAATTTAAATGTGAAAGATTGAAAAAATAACTTTAAATTTGTGCTTATTGGTAAATAATATATAAAGATGTAATTTGTGACAACAATTACGTAATGTGAGGAACAGAGCTATAAAAGAGTGGAGTTTTCACATGTGATTGAAGGTATCAGTTTAAAACAGAATGCTATAGCTTTAAAAAGTTTTATGTGATTCTAGTGACTACTGAAAAGAAAATATCTTCAGAACATACACAAAAGAAAATGAGAAGATAATCAAAGCATATGTGTGAAAAAATCAACAAAACACAAAAGACTGTAATAAAGAGGGAAAGAAGAACAAAGAAGTTATAAGATATACAGAAAAAAATGACAATAGTAAGTTCTCTAACAGTAATTAGTTAAAAGGTACATGGATTAAATTACCTCACTAGAAGACATAAATTGAATGGATAAAAAAAAAAACGGCATCCAAATATATGCTATCTTCCAGAGACTCACCTTTGAACTAAGGATACACATAAGCTGAAAGAGGACAATAAAAGAAGTAATATTTTTAAATTAAAATAAAATTAATTTGATTTTAATTTAAAAAAAAAGAACTTACAAGAGATAAAGAAGAATATTATATAATGAAAAAGGGGTCAATTCATCAAGAAGATATAACAATTATAAGTATTTGTACAGCAAACCTCAGAGCTCCTAAAATACAAAGCAAACTTTAACAGAATTGAAGGGGAAAACAGACAGCAACACAGTGTTAGTAAGAGACTTCAATGCTCACTTTCAATAATGAATACAATGTCACACAAGATCAAAAGGAACACAGACAACTTGAACAAGATTACAGACCAATAGCACCTAACAGACACATACAGAACACTAGATAAAGGCAGAATATACATTCTTCTCAAGTACACATGATATATTCTCCAAGACAGACCGTATGTTAGGCAAAACAAACCTCAACAAATTAAAGATTTAAATCACACAAAGCATCTTATCTGACTGCAACAGAACAAAACTAGTAATCAATGGTACAAGAAAAACTGGAAAATTCACAGATATGTGGAAAGTAAACAACACAGTTTTGAAATAGCCAGTGAGTAAAAGAAGTCACAAAGGAAATTAGAAAATACCTTGAGACAAATGAACATAAAAAACACAAGATATCAAAATTTATGAGATGTAGCAAAAGCACTAAGAGGGAAGTTTATAGCTATAAATACATATATTAAAAGAGCTAAAAGATCTCTCCTGACTTAATCATTACCTAGTCTACACATGTAATAAAATATGACCTATATCTTATGAATATGTACAAATATTTGTATCAATAAAACTTTTTTTAAAAGCTAAAAGATCTCATGCAACAAATCTAACTTTATACCTCAAGAAACTGGAAAAAAGAAAAACAAACTAATAGGGAAAAAAGAAATCCTGAAAGGTTCACGAAAGAAAAAAATGGCTGCATGAAAAGAATGTGACTAATGGTAATTGTTGAAACTTCTCGGCAGCAACTTTGACTATGGGATACCTTACCAATTTA